TTACTCAAGAATTAATTATTGATTAATCTGGATTTCCATATAAATAAAAGCAATTGACCCCTTTTCACCTTTTTGATAGTTTTCTCCATCATTCGTTTTGTCTTATAATATCATCTTCTTCATTAAGATTTATTGCTGTCTTTTCTGAAATGTTAACACCAGCATCAATGATTGCTTCAGTTGTCTATTTTTCTATTCTTTCAATTATTCCTCATTATCACCGCCACAGCTTAAACAATTTAACGACACAAAAGAGGAACTACGAGTTAGAGAGGAAAATCTTATTTTAAGATATACTAATGGTATTCCCTCTTCAACCGCAAAAAACCCGAACCCCGCGCCACTTTAACCAACGAGTTAACCTGCACATACCAGAATGTTCGAGGTCTCCGTACCAAAACTAACAGATTTTACACCAGCTTGGCTTCCTCTGGATACGATATAATCACTGTTACCGAATCCTGGCTTCAGCCTGATGTTCTGGACTCAGAACTCTTTCCAGACTCTTACATAGTTTACCGCTCCGATAGAAGAACTGGTTTGATGAATGTCTCCAGGGGAGGTCGAGTGATGATTGATTGCCACAGCAGAATTAACTCGGAGCTTCTGGATCTTGGTTACTTTGTATTTTATGTAATTATTGTATATATCTCCCCCTCTATATCCAGCTTCGAAACAGAAACTTTTTTCGAATTTCTTGTTTCAATGAATATTATGCTTCACAAAAATTTAATTTTGCTGGGAGATTTCAATGTTCCTTCATTTTCAGAACCTGTTCCTCTGGGCTCCAGACACAAAGGATTATTAAGTCTCAGCGAGTTTCTTGGTCTAAGACAGTATAACACTATTCCAAATTCCAACAACCGTTTCCTTGACCTGGTCTTTGCAAACTTTGAAATAGACATTGAACATAATGTTGCACCTCTAGTCAACGAGGACCTACATCATCCAGCTCTGATTTTTGATATCCAAGCTGTGCTACCTCATGCAGTCAACTTTCCTGTAAACAACGATAACCCACCCCAATTTAACTTTCGTAAGGCGGACTATCCTAGGCTGTACGAGTGGATGCTGCACACAGACTGGTCGCCCATTACTGAAATTTCAGATGTGTCAAATGCGTGTGAAGCTTTCTATGATATCCTCCATAATATTTTTTCTGTTTGTATACCCCCTAAATTGCCTAGGCGAAGGCGTTTTCCCTCCTGGTTTAGCAGGGAACTGATTGATAACATCCTGAAGAAGGAAAGGGTGCGTCGTCATCTTCAAACCCACCAGTCCGCTTATTATTATAATAAGTTCAAGTCACTGTGTAGCCTCATAAAAACTCAATCTCAGCAAGCTTATAAGGATTTTATCAGGAGTGCCGAATTAAATATCAACAGCAACCCTTCCAATTTTTGGTCTTTCATTCAGAGTAAAAAGACACAGTCACGCATACCCGCCGCTGTGCATTTTGCTGACCGTACCCTCAATAAACTCCAGCTTATCGTTTCCGCCTTTGCTGACTTCTTTAAGAGTGTCTATAAGAACTCGGAGCAAGCTGAACATATCAGAGCTTTCGAAAACTCCGAGCGGGTTGAAATCCCAACGGTCACTATTGAGGACGTCACCGGTGCATGCAAGATTTTAAAGGACAAAGCTACATCTGGTCCAGACGGCATTCCTAGCTTCTTTGTAAGGGATTGCTCTGTTGTTCTAAGTAGTCCCCTCTGTCACATTTTTAATCTGATATTAAGAAACGGCGTATTTCCAGATGTCTGGAAGATGGCCAAAGTTTGCTAAAAAAGGACGACCCATCTCAAGTTGAAAATTATCGTGCTATTTCTATTCTGTGCAACTTTTCCAAAGTATTTGAAATTATCAATAGTAATATAACTAGTGCAATGGAAATTATTGATAATTTTTGGGAAATTTGACCGAATGCATCAGTTAAAAACGCATGAGTGCAAATTTGTCAAAAATTATAAATATATTTCCATTGCACGAGTTGTATTTAATGAGAGAATTTCATAAATCAAAAATTTAAATTTTTTGTCAAAAAATGTCAAAACACCAGTTTTCGCACCAGTTAGTATGCAATTATCTGATAATTTGCACTAGTGCAAATTATCGCGTAATTACAATCTGATTGTTTCAAATCAACAATCAAAACATGTCAATTTATTGTTGGAATACCAGTTTTGACAGATGTATGAAATTCTCTTTTTAATTCAAAACCGACTATCAATTCAACACGGCTTTTATGCCAAAAGATCATGCATGACTAACCTTTGTTCCTTTTCATTTTATGTATGTGATGCTCTTAATGATAGGAGTTAGGTCGATGTGATCTACACCGATTTTCGTAAAGCTTTCGATCAAATTGATCATCACTTACTTCTGCAGAAAGCATTTAGCCAGTTTGGTTTTTCTAACAGACTTGTTTCAGTACTAAAATCCTACCTCTTGGGTCACCGACAATTTGTTGAGATCGAGGGTTTTAGATCAGACCTATTTCTGCCAACTTCAGGGGTCCCCCAGGGCTCCAACTTGGGGCCGCTTCTGTTTAATATTTTTATCAACCACCTTATTTGTATGACGGACGGAAACAGAGTTGCTGACGATTTAAAAATATATAGCCGCATCGATGCTGTCGCCGACTGTGTATCTCTCCTAGCTAGTATCAATGAGGTCAGCCAGTGGTGTGTTGCTAACAGATTAGATCTCAACATCTCTTTTTCTCGAAGAATTAATACTATTCAGTGTAATTATTCCATTGTAGGCTCGATCTTGGACAGAAAGTCAACGGTGAAGGACTTGGGGGTGGTTTTTGACGAGAAGTTGTCTTTTGTTTCTCATATCCATCAGATGGTGACTACCGCTTCAAGGACCTTGGGCTTTATAATAAGAAACTGTAAGCATTTCTCTAACGTTGCAACTTTTAAGCTCCTATACTATTTTTTTGTTAGATCAAGGTTGGATTATGGTTCTGTTGTGTGGTCCCCTATCTATGACTGTCATCGACAGTTTGTGGAGTCAGTTCAGAGGCGATTTTTAAAATATGTTATATTTAGAGAGGATGGCATTTACCCTCAGCGTGGCCTCGATCATGGTCAGATTTTAGCCAGATTTGGGGAGCTGCCTCTGGCTGTACGACGAGACTCTCAATCAGTATCCTTTCTACACAAGCTTCTGAATTCTAAAATTGACTGCCCATTCTTATTAGTACAATTACCATTTCACATACCCCGTGTAGAATCCAGACATCAACCAACATTTTCCTGTTCTCTCGCGAGATCAAACGTTCTGCTGCACAGACCTATATTCATAGAATGTGTCTCAATTTTAACAGAGTATCTGATCTGTGCGATATAAACCACGACAGTCTCCCAACAATCCTAAAGCATTTCCAGGGGGTATCTGGTTTTCCTATCCAGTAATTAAGTTAGGGCATGTATCTACGTGTATACAGGGTGTTTACGTTCTTGTGATTTTATTTTTAAGGGGTGAATAAACACCTTAAAAAAATGTGATTAACGCTAAAACACCCCAATAAAAGTCAAACACTAAGGAAGATATTAATTTTTTAAATTTATAACAACCACGTTTACCGACGTAGTGGAGGCCACGGTCACCCGACCTTACTCCACTCGATTTCTATTTTTGGGACTTGATGAAAAGCATGGTATACACCGATGAAATACTTGATCTAGTAGATCTTCGTAACCGTGTTGAACTAGCTGCGAACACCAATAGACAGCAAGGCCTAGAACTTGGACGTTATGTCGATTCATGGATACATCGAGCGAGACTTTGTATTCAACAACAACAGGGCGATTACTTTGAGCACCTGATGTTGTAGTGTTTTTCTAATTATTAAGTAATTACATAATTTTTGAAAATAAAATTGTTATAAATTTTAAAAAATTCATATTTCCCTTAGTGTTTGACTTTTATTAGGGTGTTTTAGCGTTAATCACATTTTTTTGAGGTGTTTATTCACCCCTTAAAAATAAAATCACAAGAACGTAAACACCCTGTATTGTTTATTATTATTAAGTTTTCAAATTTAATTTAGTTTATGTATTGTATATTAATTAATTCGATTACTGTTTGAATTTCCTGTAATTGGGCTTTGACCTGTTGGAAATATATGGTTATTTATTTATTTATTATTTGGATTGTTGTTTTTTGAAACCAGTTCATTTTTTGCTTTATCATCATTATTATCAAATTTGATTTAAAATCTTCATCCATTTCGAATGTACTGTTTCTTCAAAATTGAATTTCATATTCCAGTCTGCAATGTAATTTACTGGAATACACAGAGACCAACTTATTAAAGATTTTGGTTATCTGATCTGGGATAAGATAAAGTCTTTTTATCTTCACAACGTGCCCTAGTACGACCGACGTTTTATTATCGATATTTAGTGCAATTAATTAATGTATTTATTAATGCATGTTCCACATTGTCTTCTTCTTCATTCCATTAAATTCGGAGATCAGTGCTATAAGTATCCACTGATATTCGGTTTTTCAGAAGTATACTGGTAATTTTAAATTTTGAATTTAGGAATTTGTTTTTTTTTATAATTTTAATGATAGTAACACCAAAAGCCTCACTCCATCTCGAGAGACATCTAACAAATATCCGAATTCCTGAGCACTCTTCTTCAATTTCCATGGCCCAGGGTCCGGCAGCTTGTCTTGACCAAACACTCGATAAATCAGGCGAGACAATGATTGACTGTCCTTTCGGGAGATCGATTACTATCTCGCCTATAGCTTCCAACTTACTTCCGCTCGTCTAGCTCGAGTTTACTTTAAGTGCACATGTAAGAATCTTAAGACTTTTTTAAAAAAAATGGGCGTTTTTATTGACTTTTACTTCATTGTAGTCACAAAATGCGATATCACTAATTATTATAATAATAAGTATATTTAGAGGAAACTTGTGCGGAAGTTTGTATGATGTTCCTTTCCCTTTCTTATTTTCTTTGTAATAATTCCATTAGGACAAAAAGATGATTTGCCAAAACCAAGAGCAAATTTGGATTTAAGACAACAGAATTATAGTTTTTTCTGAATTACTTTTTTGTAGCAACTCGTACAAGGAGTTTAGATAAAATGGGCACTAAACCGAAGCTGTTCCTACTTATAAAACTATAAGACAACGGATTTCTAAAAGTATCCAATATTTTTTTTTTAAGACGCTAAAGCTTTATTTTAATTAAAATTCATAAAAGAATTTATGCCGCTATAATGTGTGCATTATTTAGCCAAGTAAATAGGAAACATTCCGCCCTTATAGCTTCTCCACCATAATGTGAAACACAAGCAGAAAAATTGTCCCCAACAGTCCATTGTTTAAAACTTTTTAAGATTACTTTTGTAGGAATTTTCTCATTAAACGACTTTAAAATTGCCAAACGACCGAGATTTTTTTGCTCTTGATGAGAAAACTGGCTGCCAGCAAATGTTTATACCGTTCATTCCCTGAAAAGTTATAGCCAGGCTTTTTCGGATTATTTAACAGCTCGTGCTTGTAATAAGGCGACCAGGAATTTTTATGACTAAATGAGTATTTTCAGCAATTGAAGCAAATAGTTGTTACCTTTATGTTAAACGTAGCTCGTTCAACTTCTTCGAATGTCGAATGCTTAAGGCAAAGCTTTATTGTTTGTAAATTGACAAATTATTCATCACAAACTTTTCTACAAGAAGTCCAACAATTTTGTCGTTAAGAGTTTTAGCCGCCGAGTTAATTAATTTTACAAAATTATCTGTCCGCTTTCCAACTTTCAAGAGGGCTTTTGTAGCTAGCTCGGCAGTCGGCTGGTTTGTCAGAAAAAAGTTTACCAACTTCATTAAAATAACTTGAAGTTTTGTGTTGGCAAAAAGATGGCTAGGCCAATAATTCAATTAGTAGGTATCAGTTGCTGTAAAAGTGTATTCTACCATTTAATATAAGAATTTTTTTTTTTTTTTTTTTTTGAAAAGATGGCGGACGGTGATGGTTGTGTTGGCGATAGTGATCTTGAAACGGAGTGTTTTAAGTGCAAATACGGATTTGATGATGCAAAATCAGTCATACAGTGCACCGTGTGTAATCGTTTTTATCATGGAAGATGTGAAAATGTGGATTTACGAGGCTTTCATATGAAAAAAGCATCTTGGAAGTGTATGTTGTGTGCGGAGTCTTTGAATGAGGTTAGGATCGAACAACAACAACAACAAAGGCCTTGGAAGAGGAGCCGTGTAGAAGACAACCATATCGATCAAGGTACCATCGAATCAATAAATGCAGTTTTAAATTCATTAGTTAAGACAACAAATGAATTAAATAAGAAAGTAGATTTGCTGTTGGATGAAAATCGTAAACTTAAAGATGAAATATCTAAACTTAAGGGTATTCAGCCTGAATGTAATTCTCTCCGTCAGCCTTTAAAAACATATTCATCTGTTACCCAAACGCAAAATAATAAAGTATTGGTGGTCAATCAGAAAGGTACATCAAGGGATATTAAACAGGTAAAGGAAGATATAAAAACTAAAATTGATCCTGCAGACATAGGAATTGGCGTCACAATGGGTCGATCAACAAAAAAGTAAGTTGAGTATCAGGCCCCCCTGATACTCAACTGTAGCAACGAAAAAACAATAACAAACATTCAGTCGCAAATTCAAGATAAACTTGGTGAAAGTTACAGTGTTGATAGGCCAAAAATATTACAGCATCGTGTTAAAGTCATAGGAGTAAACAAAAGCGAATTTGAAATTGATGATAATAATATAATAACAAAGGTAATTAAACAAAATGACTTGAACACTAACTGTAATAGTTTTGCTATGAGAATCTTGCGTAGAACCAGAGTCATAAATGAAAGGTTTAATTTAGTATTTGAATTAGATGATGATACTTATAATTTGTTTATTAATAGGGAAAAAATGAATATAGGGTGGAACCGTTGTTCTGTTTACAATGAGTATGGTGTTATCAGATGTTTTAACTGTTGCCAATTTGGCCATTTTAGTAAGGATTGTACTGGAAAGGCGATATGTCCTAAATGTAGTGACGAACATGATATCAAGGATTGTACCAGTAACGTAAGTAAATGTTCAAATTGTATACTGTCTAATAAAAAATACGGAATGAGTCTTAATATCGATCATGTAGCTTGGGATATAAATTGTGAAACTTTTAAGAGGGTGGAACAAACTCAACGAAACAAATTTATCAAATAGCAACTGGATACTAGACTGGAAATTAATTCTAGTATAGTATATTTTAATTGTCAGGGTTACCTAAATAATAAAGATAATATAGATGTATTAATGAATGACTGGCGGCCTAAACTGGCATTTCTGTCGGAAACTCATGTGTGCTCGGAGTCAGAATTGTGTGAATTGAATGTTGAGGGTTATCAGATTGAGAAGTGTGTGACAAATAACAGGAGAACTGGGGGGGTCATGGCCTTAATACGAAATGACGTTAGGTATAAGGTAAAAAATATACAGTGTGTACAAAATTATGTTTGGTTGTTGTCTTTAGAATTTGTAATGGAGAGGGTAAAATATCTGTGTACCGTATTGTATCATCCACCCCAGGTTGAAAATGCAAAATTTATAGATTTTTTTAATGGTTATCTGGATCACGTCAGTGTGTTTGGGGGAACTAATATAATAATGGGAGACTTCAATTTTGATTTGCTAAAACCATCATTCTACGGTGACAAATTCCTATCTAATGTATATGCAAATGGCTTCACTCAAATTGTCAACTCACCTACACGCGTTACTGATAAAAGTCAAACACTCATTGATTATATTGTAACAAATAATAAAAACCTTCCATACAAAGTACATTTAACACCAAAAATTAGTGATCATTGTATTTTATCAATTCACCTTATTAGGAAATCTAATGGGAACTCTGACGTAGTTGCTTATCATAGATCTATGAAACACTATAATGTGGACCAGTTGCAGGATTGTCTCTTTAACTTGGGGTGGAATAATTATTGTGGGGATGTAAATGTTTTGGCGAATGGTTTTGTATCTGGTATTGCGGATATTCTTAATGTCATGTGTCCCAAACAGCGTGTTGTATTTAAGCAAAAATATTTACATAAGGTTTGGATTACGGCGGAAATTAGAGAAAGAATGCGACATAGGGATAATTTGTATGTTAGAGCGGTCAGGGAAAATAACGGTGAGGTCTGGCGGGAATATAACGCAGAACGAAATTCCATAGTAAATCAAATTAAATCGGAGAAGGATAAATACTATAGAAAAACAATTGATGACAATAAAAAGAATCCTAGGGAAATGTGGAAAAATTTAAAGTTGTTACTTCCCAGTAAAAATTCTACAGTACCTGATGAAATTTATTTTGAAAATCAAAAAATATCTGATGAATTAACCATTGCAACAGAATTCAATAGATATTTTATAAATAGCATTCAGGAAATTGTAAATAATATCCCAAAATATCCCCTCTTAGGTGAAATTTCAGCAGATATCTCTAATGTATCCTATAGTGAGTTTTCTAGATTCAAACAAATATCATTGACTGACATGAAGGGTATTCTAAAGGACATGAAAAATGTTGGGGGTGGTGATAGTGGAATTTCTAAAGGGGTTTTGTGTGATGTTTGTTATGCTGTTGGAGATCGTTTGTTGAATGTTATAAATGCGTCCCTCTCAACCGGGGATTTTCCGGAGGCGTGGAAGGAATCCACTGTCATCCCTGTCCCTAAAGTTGCAGGTACGAATCTGTGCAATGAATTCAGGCCAATAAACACCGTCGAAGTATATGAGAAAGTGCTAGAGCTCGCTGTTAAAAATCAGCTTCAAAATCATTGTAATAAAAATGAAATATTGGTGAGTCATCAGTCGGGTTTTCGTGAGAGTCATTCGTGTGAGTCTGTGGTTATAAATATATGTGATGTATTTCTGAGGGAAATAGATAAGGGTAATTTCGTACTGGCAGTATTCTTGGATTTCAAAAGGGCTTTTGAGACTGTAGATAGGGACATTTTATTAAGGAAACTAAACGATATCGGCATTGGGCACACAGTATTGCAATGGTTTAAATCATATCTGAGTAACAGACATCAAAAGGTGAAATTTAAGAATTCTATGTCAGATTCCTTACTGGTTCAGTATGGAGTACCGCAGGGAACCATTTTGGGACCGCTATTATTTCTACTCTATATAAATGATATCGTCAAAGTTGTGAAGGGATGTAAAATTGAATTGTTTGCTGACGATACAATGATATACTTGGCTGGAAAAGATATAGTTCAGATGCAAAAAATAGTAAACACTGATTTAAATAATTTGTTTAAATGGCTTTGCAACAACAACTTAAATATTAACACTTCGAAATCAAAATGTTGTTTATTTGGGAAAAAATATAGTCTGAAAGATGTTAATCTGGAAAGCATAAATATTATTATGAATAACGAAAAAATACTTCATGAAAATCAGATTAAATATTTAGGAGTCATATTCGATTCATGTTTGAATTTTTATGCACATGCAGAGTACATAACGAGGAAGTTTTCCAAAAAAGTAAACTTTATTGGGAGGATAGGCAATAAGTTGTCAATGGCTACTAAATTGCTAATCTATAAAAGTATAGCAACTCCACATCTTGAATTTTGTTCCACCCTCTTGTTCAATTTGCCTAATTTTAAGATAGAGCAGTTACATATTGTTCAAAATAGAGCAATGAGAACTATTCTAAGATGCAATAGATATACCCCAATTGCAACAATGCTTAACATTTTAAATGTCTTTTCTGTCAAGCAAAAAGTTACGTACAGCGTCCATGTTTTTCTCTTTAAAATTAAGAACAAAATGTTACCGTCTTATATCTGTGATAGGGTGAAGTTTTTTAAAGATGTACATAGTTATAACACCAGAAATTGTAATGACTTTGTATTGTCAGATAAGTGTTGCACCACCCAAATGCTCAACTCGGTTCTATATAGAGGTTTACATGATTTCAATATGTTACCCAACAATATAAAAGACTGTGATAACCTGAAAATGTTCAAAAAATTAGTGAGAGATCATCTA